GTTTTCACAAGGCAATTCATACACGAACCCTAACATGCTCTCATATCTTGTTGAACTTTGTTCATTATTTTGCTTTATTATAAATATTTTGTTTTAAAATTAGTGAAACCAATTTTACAAACCCCCAATTGAGTTTTGTTCAATTAAATCTAAATTAAGCTTATATCGCCTAATGTAGTCCTCGAGATCGATACCGAGGATAGTCCCCTTCTTTTAACTATAACCGGTAGAATAATACACTTGTTATTTTACCGATTAGACACAATAATGCTGTCGCACTGGGTGTGCCAATTTGTTTAACGTGAAAATTGGTAAACAACTATTGGTCTTCCAAAAAACTGGTTTACTTGCAGGATCAACTAGTGAATCCTAAGGACATAACTATTGTGTCAATATATTTTTTGAAAATTGATGAACACCTCGATAATATTCATTTGTATGAAAGATTGTTTTAATTATTTTTTAAAAGATAAACTTTGTAAAAGTTGATAAAGAAAATGCAATGAAGAAAACTTCAAAGTAAAAGTGCAGTAAAAAAACAAATTGATAAATGAAAGTAACTTTCTTATTGAAATAAATATGGTGTTTCAACATACATTTCTCAATGACAAACTCTTTTCTCACTTGACTTAGATACTTTGAGTATATTTTGAGTATTTGTGCAATAATGAACACACACAAAAATACTAACACTAAGACTCCTATTTATAATAAGTCGAAATAACTGCCTTCAATGGACAATTCTATAAAAGTTGACACGTTTCGCCCATGCATGCCTTCATTTCGCCACGGCTCTCCACACGTCTTTCCTGAGAAACAGATAAGGAAAAAAGACAGATATTTATCCATATTTTTAATTTCAAACTTCTGTTGAAGGAAAGCTTCAAACATCCTTTGTCGAAGTTGGTTTTACTTACTTAGAAAATATTTCTAAATATTATCCAGACATGTCTCCTTCATGGAAACGACTTCGACCAAACTTCTCACACAAATCCCTGTCGAAGTCTGTAAATTTAAAGAAACTTGATTTTCACTTAAATGCCAAAAAGCCTGTTGTCGAAATTTCCAGCCAACATGGGAAGGAGACCCACCTAAACTTTGAAGAAACTTAGTGATTATCTCTCACCTCCTGCCACCTAAAATCGAGTTCCACATGATTTCCCTTAATTTCTTCCATTTTGGTTGATAAGGGATTCTTCAAGAAGGTGATGAAGATCATCCCTATTCTTATTCCAAAATCAATTTTCTTTTATCAAGAATGAGATTTTGTTCTCCCTTTAGAAATATGTCATACAAAATATGCGGGACAATGCGTATGACAAAATTAATGAGTAACAAATAAATTGCGACTAAAGTAAAAAGGACACAAGGAATTGATCACCAATTTCAGTGCAAAGTCTCCTACATCTAGAGGATGTTAACCCAAGATAGGAAATAAACTATTAATAGCAAAAGTACAAATTAGTCTTAGTTGAACCCTTCTAGTTCAAAACATATTTTCTTAGTACTATCCGTGAATTTATATTCATAACTCCGTTTAGATTTGAGATCAGTCATATGATAAAATCTCATAGGTTTTTTGTTAGCCTGGTATAAAACTAAGTTTTGGTTCAAGCTTAACACGGTGTTAAAAGGTTGGTTCGATTCGAGATTAACCCGATGTTAAAATCTCGTAGGTTTTTGGTTATCCCGGTATAAAACTAAGTTTTTGTTCAAGCTCAACCCGGTGTTAAAAGATCTCCAAGGTTCGAAATCAGTCAGTGATAAAATCTTTGTTTGAAGCATGAAAACATAATACTTATAATTTCTTGTGAAAAAGAGACTAACCACTTTGATCCATCGTGTGGAAGAAAGACTCATCGCTTCTCCTCGTGTTTGCAGTTTGGTTGAAAGTTAGCTACAAACTTCATTTTTCTTTGTATAAACTAAAAACTCTTAAGAATGGTTGGATACTCTTAAGAACAAATCTTAAGGAGAGGATTATATCCTTTTCTTTTTAACTGAACCCCTATAACTTCTTATGTTTTCCTCTCTTTTCTTAAACTCCATTTATTTTCACATTTTACCTTATACAAAATCATATTTTCGCTTAGTTTTAAAACATTTCTAAAATGTTTTCAAACTCAGATTTTAATTCAATTTTTTTTAAACTTTAGTTTTTCTAAAACACACAATTTATCATCTTTTTGTGTGTAAAATTAGATGTCCAACAAATAACATCTTAAATAAATTATTCAAAACTTAAAGCATAAATATTATTTATCTATAAAACTCCCACATTATGATACACATTTTAGTGTATCAAATTATAAATGTTATTTCCTTCAATTTATAAGAACAAAATGATTAAAATCTGTGTCGTAAACTCGTAATGATTATAATTTATTAGATTAAAAATATTTAAAAGATTAAATATTTATTGTTTACAATTTTATTACGAAATTAAAATGAATAAAAAACTTAAAAACTCAAAATAAATCTAAAGATAATTTAAAAAACTAAAAGTACAATTTAATTCTATAATTATATGTCAAAATAATTCAGTTTTATTGAATGTTAATGTAAAATAGTTTTACACTCACAATATAAAACAACTTTTATATATATATATATATATATATATATATATATATATATATATATATATATATATATATATATATATATATATATATATATATATATATATATATATATATATATATATATATATATATATATATATATATATATATATATATATATATATATATATATATATATATATATATATATATATATATATATATATATATATATATATATATATATATATATATATATATATATATATATATATATATATATATATATATATATTCTTCAACTCCTTCAACTTTTAACTTAAGTTGAGTCACCCTTACTTAAAGTAATGTTTGGTTTGGTACATCTCCAAATCATTTTAAACGTGATACCTTTTTATAATATCAAGCGTGATACTCTTTTTTAACTATTTGGAACTTTGCCATACTTTAATTTGAAACGTGATGCTTTAACTCAAACAAGATTTGATAACTACTCCCTTCCATCTATTTCAAAATTATAAATTTATTTTTTGTGTGTTTATTTTTCTTTTTAATTTAAATTTTATATAAAAAATAAAATAGAATAATTATACAACAGTTAATAAATTAATAAAAAAAAGTTAAATTTTAAAATAAAAAATAAAAGAATATAATTAAAATTAAAATATGTTATACAAAATCTAAGTTTTCCGTTTATATATATTATAGAGTTATAGATAAATATAATTTTTAATATAAAAAATAAATGTTATTTCCATTTTAAACTATAATATTAATTATTATTCTTAATCATATTATATAAACATTACTTTAAAAATATTATAGTCAAATTGTATTTAAAATACTGAAATATTCAAATTCTATTGTCATCATTAAATTTAACACACATATATTTTCAATATCTATTTACACAAATTAAATTAAATGAATTCAAAAGTTAAATTATCTAATATTATTATGATTATTATGGGTGCAAAATTTATAACATTTAAGTATTTGTGGCTATATAATTGTATTTGATATTTATATATGTTTTAAATAATTTATTGTTCGATAAAATAAAATGATGTGACAAAATACAAAATAGTTTTAAAATTTTTTTTTGTAAATTTAATCTATTTAATAATAATTTTTAATTCAAAAGTGAAATTAAGTTAATTTATCTTTTAAAAAGAATTATTGAAGATATAAGTGTGTTAAGTATTACACATCAATCATAATGCAAATATCAAATAATATCGTTATTAATATTTTTTTGACGAAAAACACTTATAACAATTTATTAATAATAATATTTTTGATACATGTTGATACATCATTAAAATTTTAAAAACTAGTCAGAGATAGAGCTGTCTTTGCCAAAAGGATGTTATTTTAAAATAAAGCAAATAATATTTAAGACTCTTGTTAGTAAATATCTTTAAAAAAAGTCATTTGATAATATTTATTTTTATTAATTTATAATGTTATTAATAAGTTAATTTAAGTAATTTATAATCATAATATTTTTGTGAGTAAATTACAATTCTAATCCTCTTATTTTATCTTATTCACAAAATCAGTCTTTCTATTTTAAATTTAAATAACTTTAATTCTATTATTATTTTTTTAAGACTACAAATCGATGAAATCTTTGTATTTTAAATTTTATATATTTTTTCTATAATATTTCACAAAAGATTCTTATATAATAATTTGTCAAATTTAATGAGTGTCTTATCATTCAAAAATAGACAATTTGTGGATAAAAAGGTAAAGAAGATTTAAATTTAAAAAGAAAAACTAATTTTGTGAATTAGGTAAAAGAAAAATCTTAAAAAAATTTATTTATTTGATTTTTTTTTATTAAAAAATAAATTTAATCAGTTAATTAAAAGAAAAACCTAAATTAAACACATAAACCCTTAAAAGAATTATAGTTTATAAAAGAGAAGATATTTTATTTTAACAAGATAATCTAGGGAGTATAAAATCCGGGTTTAGTTCGATTTGATCGCAAAAGTAAGAATGGCTAAAAGAGATTTACGGAGCCGCAAATATTAAAGAGAGAATCTTAAGGTTGAAGCGTAGGGAATGCAAGGGTTATTTATGAACTTTATAGTCTCCTTAAAAAATCTCAAAAAGAAAAATAGAAAAAAAATACTAAATTAATAAAATAGAGAAAGAGAAAGCGCATTAGATATTTTTGTATCCATTACTCCCAATTTTGAAGGCGTTTCTTTTGCAGTCGTCTCGTCTTTGTGGCGTTTAGGGTTTCTCGATCTTCGTCAACAACTCTCTCTCTTCTTCGTTTCAGGGTTTTACTCTTTTCTCAACACAGGTTCTATCTTCTTCTCTTTTCATTCTACACTTTTTCTTTTATTTTCGTCAAGGTTTTTGGTTTTAGAGATCCAAATTTTTTGTTTCGATTTTTGTTGAATTTTAGGGTTTGATACTATGCGATCTTCATGGGCTGATTTGGCTGCAAACTCCGCGGCCGAAAATGCACCACTTCCATCTTCTGTTAACAATGGAACATCTCAACCTCCTTCTCGACCTGTTTATGTTCCTCCTCATCTGAGGAACCGTGGAGCTACAGCACCGTCGCCGCTACCTGCTTCAGCTTCGTCTGGAAATTTTAATGCTTCATCTGGTAACGATAACTCCGGATCGCGTTGGGCGCCGCCGCCGAGGAACGACTACCGTGGTCGTCCTGGTGGTTTCGGAAACAGGTCTGGTGGTTGGGATAGGCGTGAAGCTAATCCTTTTGCAGATCAGGAGGATTCTGAGGAGCCGGTTACTCAAGAGGAGCAGGAGAATACGGGGATAAACTTTGATGCTTATGAGGATATTCCGGTGGAGACGAGCGGTGGTAATGTTCCTCTGCCGGTGAATACTTTTGCTGAGATTGACTTGGGTGATGCGCTTAATGAAAATATAAGACGGTGCAAATATGTGAAGCCGACGCCGGTTCAGCGGCATGCGATACCGATATCCCTTGCAGGAAGGGATTTGATGGCTTGTGCGCAGACTGGTTCGGGAAAGACGGCTGCTTTTTGTTTTCCAATTATCAGTGGAATTATGACTGGACAACCTGCGCAGAGGCCGCCTCGCGGGGTGCGCACCGTGTGTCCACTTGCCCTTGTTCTCTCTCCAACTAGAGAGCTATCGATGCAGGTGAGTGAGATTGTTGTGTGATTAACTGTGTATTATGATATTCAATTTAATTGGGTGTGGCTTTGTAGTGAAAAAAATTATATATTGGAAATGTTGTCGTTTGGTTTCAGATACACGAAGAGGCTAGGAAATTTTCGTACCAGACAGGGGTTAGGGTGGTTGTTGCTTATGGTGGAGCTCCAATAAACCAGCAGGTTTTTGTCCTATCTTTTATTTTTGTGTAATCTTCACTGTTGTTTCTCAGGATTTATTATTCAGAATAACTATGTGATGTGATGTTACTCTTGATAGATGATAATTCAATTATCATCTCTGTTGTTTAGTGATTGGTCCACATCACTAACCCAATCTAACGGTATAATGCTCAGTTATTTTTACCCAAGTTTACTTTCTGTTGATTCTGAAACTTTTGATGCAAATTTTTAGATTATACTGTTCATAAGTCACATTCAAGGTTTTTGTTTTGTATGTCAGAGGTTCTGATATATGCATTGAATGAATATATCCATTCATAAATTTGAAAACATTACCTTGCAGTATTCTGAATAAAGCATGGGAAATTTTGAAACTGTCTAAACTAAATATCTTTCTATCTGCCTTGCTCTTGTATAGTTTGTTCTTCCTTTTGTTGGTGAAATGATCCAATTTGCACTAGACACTTTAATATTGGTCTTGAACGGCCAATCATATTTTTCTTTTTTAATAATGCCAATACAAAATGTCCATAATTTTGTTTTGATTATAACAAAATATTATTTTCCAGCTACGAGAGCTTGAGAGAGGGGTGGACATTCTTGTCGCGACTCCTGGAAGGTTGGTAGATTTGTTGGAAAGAGCTAGAGTTTCACTGTCGATGATTAGGTATCTTGCCTTAGATGAGGCAGATAGGATGCTGGATATGGGTTTTGAGCCACAGATAAGGAAGATTGTGGAACAAATGGACATGCCTCCAGCCGGGGCGAGACAGACTATGCTGTTCAGTGCCACTTTTCCAAAAGAGATACAGGTTTGATTTTTTATATTTTGTGAAAAAGAAACGAGTGAAACATCCGTTCTTATATGAATATGTGTAATTTGTTTTTGTTGGTTAATTTTCCCAGCTTTTCTACTTCATTGAGACCAGTTAGACTTTCTCTCTCCTGTTTTTTGCCTCCTATATATTTGTTTTTTTATTTAATTGTGTTGAAATTTAATTTTAATGAAGACCACATTCATCTGTTAGAAGATGTGCCCTTATTATTAAGGGCTGTTTGAGATCATTTACTTACGTGTTTTTGCATATTCGTATCTGATGTTAATTTGCCCCCAACCGCCCCTTACATCCATTTTTTTAGTAAGGTGAATTGCTGTTAAAATTAAATAATGGAAATGTCTAATTTGAGTTAAGGCAATAAATTTCTTGTTGATATAGTAAATAATTCAGAAGGTTATTATTTGTTTGACATATAGCTTCCTCATTACATCTTTGACTTTTGTGATGATTTTCTGTTGACATGCAGAGACTAGCCTCTGATTTCCTTTCAAATTATATTTTTCTGGCTGTTGGAAGGGTGGGATCAAGTACTGATTTAATTGACCAAAGAGTTGAGTATGTTCAAGAGTCTGACAAGAGAAGCCATCTCATGGACCTTCTTCATGCACAAAGAGCAAATGGTGTACAAGGAAAGGTATTCTCAGTTTTTCTTAAATTGCATCTCACTTCTATAAAACTGTTTTTGAAAATTAGAACTTCAGTTGTAAAGAAATACACATTTACATTGGTTTATACAATTTTTTCCCCTCAATCTGCTGCTGAACTCTGATATATGTATATGCATTGATTAACTGAAATGCTGATCATGACTATGAAACCAATGACATGGAGTTTTAGGCAATTAAATGTTATTGTAACAGCTCTGTTCTTATACAAAATGTAACTCTTTCATCAGTGTTCCAGCGAACTGATAAGCTTTTAAAGTAAACCTGACGATTAGAATTGTCTCAAAACTGTGATTCACTCTGGATGGGTTGTTCTTGGTGATGCATATCAACCTTTTTTGAAGCACATGATGCATACAACCTAGGACATTTATTTTGTGCGGTCATATTTGTTTTTTGGCATTGTGGGTCTATTTGTTGTGTTAATTTTCCTGATATTTCTACTCCTCGTCTGTCAGTCTCAGCTGTCAGGTGATGCTGACTGCTGGCAATTGCACATATTTTTGCGTGTGGATGATTTAAATCTCGGCTGCTGTGTTTTTTATTTTGTGTGTGTGCAAGCATGCGCGTGCGTGTCTTTTCTCTGAGAATTGACTTTTTCTTGACTTTTTCTAGCAGCAAGCTTTGACTTTAGTTTTTGTCGAGACAAAGAAGGGAGCTGATGCTCTGGAACACTGGTTATGTCTTAATAATTTTCCAGCAACTACTATTCACGGTGACAGGACACAACAGGTTAGTATGTTTCTATCTTTATTTTTAGTTTATAACATTGAGTAGACTGTGAATGCTTTAAATTTCTGATCGACCAAGTTGTACCCATATATTTTTAATATTGTTCTGTAAAAGTGTGTGATGCTCTAAGAAAGCAGTGGAAAATTAATGGGTACAAGGTAACCTTTCTGGTTTAGAGTTGGTAATATTCCATTTGCATACCTTCATGAAAATTCCAAGGAACCTGATTCCCTCAAGTATTTTTACTTGGAATTTATTTTAAAAATTGTTTGGTTCACATGAAGCTTTCCTAGGAATTGGTCAAAACATGTTATTCCTTGGATTCCTTTTTTAAAAATTGTATGGTTTGCGTTAAGCACCCATAGAAATTGAAAAAATGTTATACTCCCTCCGATCTTTTTTAATAGTTGTCTTTTTAAGGTTATTTACACATACCAAGACAATCAACCAATTTATGTTTGATAAAATTATATATTTTTTCTATAATATCCTTAACCTTTTATTAACTTATTAAAAACACCTTTATTATTTCATTCTACCCATCTCTCTCTCTCTCTAGTAAATAATTAAGGGTATTCAAAGAACCATCAACAATGCATTGAGTTTTGATAACGACATGTAAATAGTAACAATTTTTTCTACAAAAGTGGCAACCAAAAGGGAACAAGTATGTACCTTGAAAATTATTAAAAACTTGTTTGGTTTGTATGGAATACTCATTGTGTTTTGATAAGGACATGTAAATTTTTTCTACGAAAGTGGCAACTAAAAGGGAACTAATAATTACCTTAAAAATTATTAAAAAATTGTTTGGTTTGTATGGAACACTCTATGGATCATTTATGATACAATGATTTATGACTGACTACTAAAGAGATGTTTAATCATTGGATATTTTCTCTACTCTAATGTAGACCAACAGTGCTCTATGCTATTTAGTTATTACTCCCTCCGTTTGTAGCTATAAGTATTAATGCTATTTTTCCTATATGCCCTTAATTATTAATCACTCTTTAATTTCAATTATTTTAATTTACCTCTCCATTAACATTAATGAAAGATAGTTTTATAAAATAATTTGCAATTTATCCTTTTCATACAAAATTAGTTACATTTCTTAATGTGTATGTGACAAAACTTTTATACTAAAAACGGAGGGAGTATGTTTGTCTTTTAAAGCTAGTTTTTTCCTTTTAGGAGCTGAAGATTGCAATTGCCATGTATGTTGTCTTAAGGTTAATGTTCTTGGAATTATTTTTGAAAACCAATTTTCTTTTGCTCTAGTTATAGTTATTATTTGAGAGCTTTTTGCACTACTATGTGGTTTATCTAGTTACGCGTTGTCTGTGTATATGCTCCTCATATTTTACAATGCCTGCAGGAAAGAGAAGCTGCATTAAAGTCATTTAAAAGTGGCAGGACCCCCATATTGGTTGCCACTGATGTGGCTGCACGTGGCCTTGATATTCCTCATGTTGCCCACGTAGTTAACTTTGACCTTCCCAATGATATTGATGATTATGTACACCGTATTGGAAGGACGGGGAGAGCAGGAAAGAAAGGTCTTGCAACTGCATTCTTTAATGAAAACAATACATCCCTTGCAAGGTCTCTAGGAGATTTGATGCAAGAAGCAAATCAAGAAGTGCCCGCTTGGCTTTCGCGGTTTGCTGCACGATCATCCTATGGTGGAGGAAAGAACCGTCGATCAGGAGGCCGATTTGGTGGTCGTGACTTTCGAAGAGAAGGTTCATTTAGTAGGGGTGGTTCTGATTACCATGGCGCAGGAAATAGCAGTGGTGGATATGGGGGGGCTTCTGGTGGGTATGGCGGTGGATATGGTGGTGGGTATGCAGGAAATAGCGCGGGTCCTGGGGTGACCAGTGCATGGGACTGATTTTCAACTTTTGATAGCATTATATACTGTCTAGGTATTAGGTGTGAGAAATACACCTATAGGATTTATTTTTGTCTCAAGTTTATTTTTATTTTCTTTTTCCCTCCTAGTGTTTTCAAGCCAACATAATTTCTTGTGGTTTACTACGCGAATCGCCTAGGAGATGTGGGTGTGTGTGGTATTATTACCACTTGAATAGAGGTTGTGTAGTGTTAGCAGGTGTTGTTGGAAATGGCGATTACTAACATATTAGGAGTTCCTTTTTTGACAGCTTTGTGTAACCAACATTTTGGGTGGTTATTTATGGGAGAAGATGTAGGATATGTGGTGGGAGAGGGTTGATTGAGGCTTTTCATTACAGTCGTATCTATCTATTTATCTCTTGATCATGTTTCTACTGAATATATATTGTCATTTTAACATTCCCTACTTGGATGGGTAAGGTTTTGTAATAGTTATTAGTGACAAATGAATGAAAAGTTATCTTGCTGGATGTTTGTGTTGGGCATAATTTGTATTCTCTATACGATTGCAAAGAAGTAGGTGGATAAACATGTTTAAAGTCTTACTGTTTTTTTGAGTCTTATTTATTGTTAAAATGCATAAAATATGATCAATTGCGGAAGCAAGATTTGGAAGTGATTTTGCTACCTCTACACGTTTTAAGAATTTACACAACTTCTAACCCGGCTACATGGTCTGTTGATGTGTCTGAATCATTAGTTCTATCCGCAAGCGTTTGTGAGAATCAAAAGTTAACTTTCAGTATAAACATTGCAGAATTTGAAGAATTAAAATTTAAGCTTTCAAATTTCGTCACTAATCAAGCTTTTATAGTTCATATCAAAATGTACCGCGCAAAAGTTATGCAGAGGTTATAACCGGTGATGTGTTATGAAGCTTGAATATGCATGATATATGGGTCTAGTTTGTTTGTTTTAGCTTTTATTATTTTTATATATTAAGTATTTTTGTTTAAAAATAATGTATGAAGAATTTATTAATAAAAATTATAAATAAAAAATTAGTTTGAATAGTTATTTTTAAAATGTTGTTTTATCATAATTTATTTTTGATACTAAAATTATAAGAAATCACATAACTTTAAAGCAATTGTAAAAAGTTTTTTTTTTTTTATAAAAAATTTTGAGTTACAAATTTTTAAAAAAATTGTAATTTCAATTATATTTTGATCTTTAATAATAATAATGTATATCTATGTTATATGATGTCAAAATTAATATTTTAATTTATAATTTCTTTTTAATATATAAAAAATGTCTATAAAAATTATACTTAAAAATATAAAAAGAAAATCTATTTTTTTAAAAATTAACAAACCGGCTATAATATATCAGTGTTAGATGAGATATCTTGCATCCTGAACAAATGGTGTGTCTTTATATGAAGAAGTAGATGAACAGCCAACAAATAATGATACATCCTGATTCGTTACAAATATGCTCATGTTTATGTGATGGTGTTAGATGAACAGCAACTAATAACTTACAACGTACAGACTCACGTTTTACATACATACTCCTGTTTTATTTGAAGGATAGAAAGGAAGAACAATAAAAAAGATGGGAATTAGTTAAGACACTCCTAAAATATTTTTAAGTCACACATGGGAAAAACTTAAAATATTTTAAAATTTAAAAATATATTTTCAAACCTATTTCAAATATACAAAATTTATGTATAAATAAGTCACAATTTCTTTTTATAAAAAAAATTTAATCCGAAAATATATTTTAAGAATGAATTTAAAAGTGTACTTGTGTAGCTTCTTAAATTCTCTCTACATCAATTTTGGCTCTACTTTTTAAGGAGAATTACTTATCCCACTCTATGCGGTAAAAAACACTATAGAAAATTCAAAATGTTCTTCAAATTTTGGAGATGTATCTTTAGACGCACTTTGTTTTAAAACATGTCACATAAAATCCACTCAGAAATGCATTTTAATTGATCCGAAGATACATCTCCATTTAGGGTTTACGGAGATGCATCTCCATACTCTATCAGAACAATGCATGTTATGTTTGTTTTATGGTTTATGTAGATGAAAATGATGATTTATAAATGTTAAAAATTCTATTATGTGATGAGATTTAAACAATACATTCGATAATGTAAAAAATGACATATATAAATTCAGATGGTTAAAAAAATGACATATATAAATAAAGTCAAAATACACGATAAAATGGAATAAAGTGAAAACAAAACACAATCCATAATGAATCCACAGTACACATACTATATACTACTGCGTATGCTAGACTACAACTCTTTTGACTCCTCATACGCCTCAGTGTCCACTCCCCCCGTCCTCCGACGTTGTCTCTGGTACATCAGTGTCTCTTGTGTCTCCGACATAATAAAATCTAGGACCTGCCTCATCTCAGACCTATTAGGGAAGATACCTCTATCAATGTCTTCATGCACAATCTCCGCTATGCGACGACATCTAGGAAATACATCATGAGCATGATTTAATTGTGCATGCTCCTCCTTTAGTATCTCCTGATGAGTTGGCCTCAGTGGATCTCCTTGAGTAGCCTGCACCATATACAAATATGACACCCTGAAGAGCCACCAGATGTACCCGTCGACGTAGCTCTAGTCGCTTTCTGCTATGGTACTTTGTGTTTTCTATGGTACTATATGAATAAGATAACCATCAAACATGCCATCTATCTCTCAACGTGTCATAGCAGAAGGAGCAGAGACAACAAGCTGTCTAAGAATATTATGAGTGTAGTCGAACTTCCGCATGACACGCTAAGGCAGATGAGGAAATGTGAGACGTGAGCCGTAAGCCAACCATCTCGAGTATAACACTATGTCGTAAAATGACCACGTCCTACGGTGATCGACATAGCTTTTGAAGTGCATATCCTTTGCAATCAAGCACTCAAGATACACTATGAGCGACTCTATTGCCCGGTTCCCTTTAAGCGGGGAAACACAACATATCCTCATTGTAAGTTGGTACGCCCGACCAGTCGGAGATGCGCGAGAAGTACTGGAGGATCCGAGCCTAAAAATTGTTGGAACATAAGAATCATTAGTAAGGGCGTTCGTTGCAAAAATGCAATGTAAATGTCACAGGAACACTAAAAGGCCCATAAATATTATCGTCAATAGTGTGATGCTGCTTGTGACCTGCTTCATCTTCCACCTACATCCCTCTGATAACTTTGAGTACAAGTAGACCAAATAAATGCCCCCCAGTTGTACTCATGGATCCGTTCGAAGTCCTCGAAGTACCGTAGGTAGATGACATCTGTATAAGTGGCACTTTTGTCCATAAAAATTGTTGTGCAAACCAAATATAGCATGTATGCTCTCATAGCATACGCTCTATAAAGCCCCACCTGCTCGTCATTGCCTCTAGCCTCCTCAGCTATAAGGTTCTCATATGTATATACCTTTTATAGGAATTCAAACCTAGGATAAGCCCCTATGGTTTTTTCAAACTCCCTGATGGCATCCTCTAAGTTAACTACCAGATAGTCTACCATCATATCAAGTGACTCATCTATAGTAATCCTCCCATGATCTAGAAGTTTTCCCTTGATCAAAAGATGCAGCAAACACGCCACATCATCGAGTGTGATAGACATCTCACCAAGCGGGAGATAAAATGACGAGGTCTCGATGTGTCATCTCTCTATGAATGCATTAAGCATTCTGTGATTAACCGTAATATAATCGGTCATGCACAAGTCCTTCATCCCAAATAGGGATAAATCAGTCTGAAACCACTCCTCATTCGGCTAAGGCAAACCAGTAATTTTTTCCCCATGGTTAATAAACTTCAGCGGATCACTGTCGTTTAGAAAAATAAATCAATGTCAGAAACTTGCAATATAATAATAAACATAATTTAAAACGAATGAATCCAAATAATCTTACCTCTCCGTCCTAGATATGTCTGAAAGCATGGTCTGGGTACAGAGGCAACGATGCCAACTCTACAGGGCTTTTTCCAAATTCCTGAGGTGGCTCATCATCCTCATCATCCTCATCAGCCGTAGGTGGCACTAGCTGAGCAACCTCATCAGTCGGAGGTGGCACTGGCTCAATAGTCTCATTAGTTGGAAGTGGCTCTGGCTCAAAAGCTTCATCAACATGAAGTACCTCCAGTACTTGAGGTGGCACTGGTGCCTCAAGACCACCGGTGACTCGGGTACCTCTTGCGCCTGAATATATGAAACCTGTCTCCTACGGGAAGATGGAGGCAAGGATGCGTCGATAGGTGAAACTCGTATCTTATGGGAAGAAGAAGATAGAAAACATGAGCTTCAGAAGTAGATGCCTCCGCGTGGATAGAGTAAATCGAAGCATAAAAATTGACTCTTCTCCCTACGCACTGATGCATGGTGTGCAATCCTCCCGTGCCTCAGTCTATCGTCCATATCAACCATAACGTCTGTAAGTAAACTAGACAAATGGCATAAGCAACCATACAATCAATAAAAGAAAAAAAAAACTAATAATTTACGGAGATGCATTTCTGGGTAATGAGAATCCAAGCATTGAGAAATTTCGGAGATGCATCTCCAGAATTTTCTGCAACTCATCAGGTCCGTCAATGGCGGCAATGCAGACCATCAAGCCCTAAAAATAATGGTTTAATCGTTATTTTCAACCAACAAACATGTTTTACAGTATGTATAAACTATCATTCATGAAATTTCTACTCATTTGTTACCTAAATAATCAATTTCAACTAATTTACACAAAAACTCAATTATTTTTTCAAAACATCAAAAAGTTACAAATTTAGAGTTTACTTCAGTGTTCAATGATGTCTCTGATATACTTGATGTTGATTGAAGAACCCTTGAGCTTGGTTATTTGATTTTGGACTTGGTTGATGAAAAAACTTTGAGAGAGTTTGATAAACTTTTGTGTTTTTTTAGAAATTAGGAAAGAGAAGGGTTCTGACGCGATTTAAGTTTCAATACCTTTCGGAGATGCATCTTCGA